TACAAAGCTCTGGGTTCAAGTTCTAATGTTGGGGAAAAAAAGTTCCACCTTTTTCTGTGGAGTATGTGCCATGTACTTTAGGTTGTGCTACTAATAGACACAAAGTTTATACTCTTATGAACAATATACTTGGGCTGGAGAGATGGCTCAGAGGTTAAGAGCATTGTCTGCTCTTCCAAAGGTTCTGAGGTCAATTCCCAGCAACCACATGGTGGCTCACAACCATCTGTAATGAGGTCTGGTGCCCTCTTCTGGCCTGCAGGCATACACACAGACAGACTATTTTTACATAATAAATAAATAATTTAAAAAAAACAATATACTTTTGTGAAGTTTTAGCAATTAAAATATTTTTAAGGGGTTAAAGGCCTGGCTCAGTGGTGTGCATTGTATATGTGAGGCTCTGGATTTGATCATCTATACGAAAAAAGAGAAAAGAGAAAGAATAAGCCAAGACCAAACAAAACAGGAACAGCCAATCTTCAAAGGAGAACAGAGTCCTGCACAGACTGCTCAGCACAGGTATCCTTTGCCTGGTACCATCTTTTTGAACATACCCTGATGCTCCATTGGGAGACAAGCCACATCCTTAAGCTTGTCAAATTATCACCTTGGAAAGTCTGGCCAGTTTCCCATTTGGTCATATTTTCCAATCACTCTACTCTCAGGTTTAGAGACCTGGTTGCGTATTCTTAGCCAGTGTACTGGAGAGACTTGGCTCCAGGCAATCTCTTTCTTTCTCTCTCTTCAATTTTGACATCTCAGTAAGTTAGCTATTACACAATGTTACCACAGCCTACTTTTTTCTGACTCATATTACCCAGGAGACAATTGAAGAATGAATTTGGACTGGAATCTTATGTAGTATCCTGGATTTCTTAAAGGTTTGGTGCCCACTTTCTATAATCTATAAAGGTCCTTTTCCTTTTCCATACAATATTTACCTGATTAAATTCCCTGCGTATATATGTTTTATAATTTTCATAGCCTCAAGCAACTTGTGTAATTATAAGTCAATATCTGATCTCACTTGGCAGGCTAGGCTTCCTCCTCTTCTGCTGTGTCTGCATTATGTGTGGTCTGCTCCTTTGGTTGAACTCGTCAGGTTTTGTTTTTTTTTTCCAGAGACAGAATATTCTCTCTGTGTTGTTTTTGAGACAGGGTTTCTCTGTGTGTAGCCCTGGCTGTCCTGGAACTTGCTTTGTAAACCAGGCTGGCCTCTTATCAAAGTTTTGGTAGGCTATGATATGTATTTGCCCTCTTACTTTATAAACTTAAAGACTGTGCTATTTCCCAGAGTAACTGAGTCACCTGAAACTACCTACAATTTCAAACATGCTAAGGATTCAGGAACCAGAGACTAATACTGAGCCCAGTCATAGACAGCAGGCAAATAGGGGAGAGAGACTCTATTTCTTTGTTTCTAAATGCACACACACTCATTGATACAAAAGGGTGGGGACCACTTCCTATTATACAATGGGACTTGCTAAAGTCACCAAGAACTGTGTTGTGGCTTGTCCTCCCAGTCATGAAAATAAGAATGCTTGTCATATCCTTTATGATGAAGAAAAATAATGACTAAAATATTATTTATGAACCTGTTTAATTTCTTCAGTGGAAAGATGACAGGCGCATGGTCATCAAGACATAAAGTGCTTAGATGATCACAAGATACTTAGTTCTCAAAGGCAGAATCAGAACTCTTCATACGTCTCAGAGGGAATAATTGATAAGAAGGTACCTGAGTACATCTATTCCCAACTTATTTAGAAGCCTGGAATTCCCTGATATACTCTGACTTGCACAATACATGTAAATTAAATGACAAGTCCAGCGGGGCAAAACCAGAATATCTAGGCTCAAATATTAGCTATAGGAAAGAGAGTAAGAAGTACCCTGTCGTGGAATATTACTTTAACTATGTAAAGGTGTGTTACATTTGTTTATGTTGTGGAATACCAAGCATTCATAACTAATAATATTTCTCTATGTCATGATTTGGGGGCTAGTGGTCTGAGAACGCCTACTACGATACCCTAAAAACTAAGTTGATTAAATATATAGGCATTCTTTTCATTTTGTTTTTAAACAACCTGGAACTCATCATGTAGTGTGGATAAGGGTTCAGATGCATAACAATTCTTCTTCCTCGGCCTCCCCAGTGCAGAAAGCACAAGAGCCGCCACACCTAGCTTAAATCGGCTTCCTTGAAAAGCATCAAACCGAGTAAGCTGGTGTACACTTGCCACCTCAGCACTGGGGTGGCAAAACAGGAGAATCACAGGTTCAAGGCCAGCCTGGCTATAGAAGAAACCTGCCCCCAAGTCAGTCTGCACCTAAGGAGCAGGGATGAAGACAACAGGTGAAAGAGAGCTAGAAGGAAATCTGGAAGTGGGCCCGAGGAGAGGAAGTGACACAGCCACCCATCAGAGAGGGAATTCCGGTTAGGCGAGGGGAACTGTGATGCAGTCACCTGGGAGAACCGATTCTCTGTGAGCTCTAGCAACTCGGTGTCCTCAGGAGTAGTGGGCTGGAGGCACAATGCTAACAGCGTCAACATCATCCCAGCGGAGAAGAAAACTACAGTTCAAGTCGGTACCCAGGCTGGCTGGGAAGTAAGATTGTAATCTCAGTACTTGGAAAACCGAAGCAGTAGGCTCTTGAGTTCCAGACTAGGCTATACAGCAAAACACCGCCAGAAACACCAGAGGGATGGGGTAGTTGAGGAGATACTTCAGTGGGCAAAGCCACAAACCATGTTATTGACATGTAGAAGACGATGGTTAATGTACGCGTGATCAAATTTGTAAACATGGAAACAAAGTTTTAAAAGCTCTTTTGGAGAGATACTTATGCACAGGTGTGAAGTATAAAGTCAGGATGGTTGGTATTAATTAATTTGCTCACAGCAGGACTGGAACCTGTAGGGCAGAGAGTGGGAGAGAGACGTCCAACTCCAAGGGTGGGTCCATGTATCCCAGGCTGGCCTCGAGCTACGATGATCATGAATTCCTGATCCTCTGCCTCCAGCTCCCAAATTCTGGGATTACAGATGAGTGACACCATACAGCCTACTTTGGGTTCTGTTCTAAATCTGGAGATGGCTAAAATATTTAAGCAGAGGTGACAATCAAACCTGCCTTGGAAGACTAGTTGGGGCAGGGAGAGTGAGGTGGAAGGCGGAAACGGGAGCAGACAGGAAAGAAGTTTCTGAGAAAGGCCTGGTTAAATGGAGGGTACCAGACTATAGTTAAGTGCCATCCAGTAAGACAGACAAAAAAAACAGAACAGAGTTTTCTTTCTGCCGGGTAGGTGGGGGGAGGGGCATAATCATCACGTGAGTGGGCTCCAGGCCCTTGAAGGAGCTTCACAGTGTGTAAGTCCTGACAGGGCCCTGAGGACGAATGTAAGGTATTTCTGGGCTTTTTTTTTTTTTTTTTTTTTTTAAATGTGTCCTTTCTCAAGGAATAGGGCTGAAGGAACCAGCTGTGGGCTGATTGTTAGTAAGTGGAGAAACTGTACTCTCATCATATGAAGAAACAGCACTGTTATCTAAGACCTCATTTCATACGTAAATATGGCAGCAAGAAGTATAACAGATCCAATCAGTTCTTCATTAATTATAACAATACAGCAGACATGACCAAGTAAAGTGTATTACTTTGTCTCTGAAATTACATCCTGAATGGCTCCATAGTGAAAAATTTGTATAGGTTTTCACAGTGAAAATAAATTTAAAACGCAACCAATTTATATGCAATTTCCTGTATAGCTATAAATACTGCAACTCTTTTCATTATGCTGTTAAATACTCGTCTTGTTTGATTGTACACTAAATGGTTATTAGCTGTTTTCTTGCTTTTCGAGACAGGGTTTCTGTGTATCATCCTGTAGTCCTGGCTGTTCTGGAATCCATTCTGTAGACCCGGCTGGCCCCAAATTTAGATACCAGGCCGTCTTCTGGGATTAAAGACGTGGGCTGCCATGCCCGGGGGCCAGGTTATTAGTTGTATTAACTTTAAAAACTTTTAAGTTCCCGAGGATAATTCCTGTGAAACCAAGCATAGAAAATGCACACCACGGAACTTAAAAAATCTGACCTTGTATGTGTGTATTATTTCACTCTAGAGCCATCTAAAGATTAAGATATCGCCACTGTTCATTTAGTTTAAGTTGTATTCATAATACTTTTGTTCTCCGTTTCAGTCAAAATTTCTGCTACTAATGGGACAATATGAGTTCACTTCTCAACCTCAGAGTCCAACTATGGGTGTCTTTGAAAGTTATCTTTGCCCATGCACCACCATTCTCAGGACTCAAGATGTTACTACTTCTTCCAGTTAAAAAAAGAAAAGAAAAAGGAAAACAACAATGCTTAAACTTCCCCAAACACAACCTATCTCAGTATTATAAAGGCTGAAGACAAGTTACAACAGGCAGCCGGGAGCACTGAAGTGGGACCAAAGAAGCAGGTCGCGGCGAAGCCCGGGAGCTAGTGCGAAAGTCGGAGGAATCTGGGCCATTTGCCAAAGGTGAACGTCCCCCCTGGATCCCGGAGACTGACTGGTGCTACCACACTAGAGGTAAGGTGAGTGACAAGAGGCGCGATCCTTTGGGGGTTGAGCAAAACACGCGAAGAATTCGACTGAGAAACGTCAGGCATTCCTGGGCAGGATACGCCGGGCTTGACCCCAGCCCCGTAGGCGAGGCCTTCACTGCTCCCGATGATATCTGCGTGAAGTAAACAACCCGAAAGCCCGAGGCCCACGCACTCCGCAAAGTCCCGGTTGCACCCCGGGATGCCACTGGTGCTGAGTCGGAAAGCCGGGGGAGGGGCGGGCGCCGGCGTGGGGGCGTGGCCCAGGCTTTCCCCGCCCCCAGAGCGCGGCGCATCCTCAGTGCGCCCGTCTAGGGTGAGGCCGGACTCTATTTGGTTATCCGGCGTGCGGCCGCCGAGGCGTCCGCTACCCGGCGTGCCGTGCGCGAGCCAGCGAGCGAGCAGGCGGGCGGGCGAGCGGCGGCGCGACGTCTCTCCTCACCCGTCCCTCCCCCTCCCTCCCGCCCGCCGCGGTTTCCCCCCCCCCCCTTTCCCCAAAGTGAGTGAGTGAGACGGGCAGATGGAGGAGGGACTGTAATGGCGGCGGCCGGCAGCTCCCTGCTCTGATCCGCGGCAAGCACACGGCAGCGACCCCCCTCCCCGGCCCTCTCCCGGCCGGCCCCCGCCCTGCCGTCGGCGCGGGGCCACCGTCCCCGACCCTCCCCGCAGCTGCCGGCGTCTGGCTCTGAGCCCCGGCCGGGGCCCCGCACACAATGGACGAGCTGGCCGGAGGCGGCGGCGGCGGTGGCGGCGGCCCGGGGATGGCGGCCCCTCCCCGGCCGCAGCAGGGATCCGGGGGGACCCTGAACCTTCCGCCGGGAGCGAACGGAGCGCCGGGCGGCGGGGGTCCCGCGGCCTCCGAGGTGGCGGGGCCCCCGCCAGGCCCCGAGCTGTCCCGGCCGCAGCAGTACACCATCCCGGGGATCCTGCACTACATCCAGCACGAGTGGGCTCGGTTCGAAATGGAGCGGGCGCACTGGGAGGTGGAGCGGGCCGAACTGCAGGTACCTGGCCGGGGGGGGGGGGGCGAGCGCGGGCCGGGGGACCGGGGCGCGGGCTCCGGGGGTGGGGCTCGGGCTGGGGCCCGCGCCCTGAGGGGCGGAGGGGGACCTACCTGAGAGGCTCCGGCTGGCGAGCGGCGACTGCCTTCCCGGCGCCTCCTCCCCCGCTCCCGCAGCGGCCCGCTCCCTGCTCACAGGCGGCGCGCTGCGGGCATCCTCGGGGCAGCCATTTTGGCTTTTAGCATGGCGTCTGCGGGGCTCCTCCGGCGGCGCCTTACCGGGCCTCCGGGCTTGGGCCCAGCGCCTCCGAGCGCCAGGTTGGCGTGGGTCCGCTGGGCCCCGAGTTGGCGCTTGTTGGTTCTCTTGAGGTTGAGCACAGGCGCAAAGGGCCTGGGCTAGACGCCTCCTGGCCCCGGCACCCCCCTCCGATGTGGCGTCCTGCCCCCTCCCCCGCGCCTCGGGACGCAGTTGCCCCTTGACAGCCACGCCGCTTCGGGCTGCCACCTCGCACAATGGCTTGCGGCCCGCCGCTGAAGTTTGCCTTGCCACCCTCAACTTTTTAAATACCCGGGATGCCGCTGTTCTCACTCGGATTTCCTTTAGCGCTTCATGATTCATCAACACTTTTAACTGAATTAACCTCTTTTGAGTCGGCTTCTCTTGACTTTTCATTCCACGTCCTTGTTTTTACTCATACAAGGCCCATTTGAACTCTCTCTACTGGATTTATGAAATGTCTGCGCAAAGAATTGGTCTTAACTGTGAAGTAAAACGTACTTTTTGTTTGGTCCGAGCTAAAACAAAGCTAAATGTCCACTTATGTGAACCCCCGATCGACTTGAGTTACCCCCTAAATTTTGAAAGATGGTAGTTTCGGGTTCCAGTCTTGAATTTTTAAAATTAAGTGCCTCTGTTTGAAAGGATTATTTGAGTTGTAGGATAGTTGCATTTAGTTTTAAGTTCTTTCCAGGATATAACTTGAGCTTAGAAGAAAAAGGCATGCATCTAAACGTTGCACCTGGTTTTTTTTTTTTCTTAGACTTAGGATGTATTGTTCATACACACCATACATCACACCTTTGGTGAGTTTAGGAAGAAGTAATGTTGAAACAGGAGGTTGATTAATGTAGAAAAGGTATTCTCGCGGGGCATGGAGGCGCACACTTTTAATCCCAGCACACGGGAGGGGAGGCAGAGGCAGGTGGATCTCTGTGAATTTGAGGCCAGCCTGGTCTACAGAGTGAGTTCCGGGACAGCCAAAGATACAGAAACCGTCTTGAAAGTATTCTCAAATAAACATAAATCTTCAGTTTTCATTACATTGAATGAATATAAAGAATTTCATTCAAAAATTAAAAATACTCGGCTGTGTGGTGGCACAAGTCTCTAGTCCCATACTCAGATGGATCTCCATGAGTTCAGGCCACCCTGATTTACATAGAGAATTCCAGGACAACCAGAGCTACATAGACTCAATCTCAAACAAAAAAAAGTAAAAGAAACATAAAATATCAATAATGTTTTTGTTGACAAAAGCATTGTAGTCAAGTGATTGAACCAGTAAATATTTGCTGTAGGTTTTTGTTTTGTTTCAGACAGGGTTTCTCTGTGTATTCTGTGGCTGTCCTGGAACTCAACTATGTAGACCAGGCTTGCCTGTCACCTGAGTGATGGGATTAAAGGTGTGTGCCACCACGCTCAGGCTCAGCTGTGTGTGTGTGTGTGTTTATTTTTTTTAATAGTTATTTACTTCTATTATTGGTATGTATGTGCCTGAATGTGTGTTTATGCACCACATGTGTACAAGCATCCTCAAAATCAGAAATCTTTGGATCCGTGTAGTTATGGATGATTAAGGAGCCATCATATGGGCGTATTGAACCCTGGTCTTCTGTGTGAGCCACAGTTGTTTTTAACCGTGAGCCACTCTCCAGACCCTAATTGTTGTTCTTGCTTATTTGTTAGTTTTTTTTTGACATAGGGTCTTATATTCCATGCTATCCTGATACTAGTCCGGCCTCGAACTCAGATATTCACTTTCTTCTGCTGGGATCAAAGGCATGCACCACCACAACAGCCTCCACAGTCTGTGTTGTGGTTATTTTGAGACAGAGTCTGTAGTCTTGGGCAGCCTGGAGCCCACTGTGTAGAACAGGCCGGTTACCCCTCTTAGAAATCCATCTATCTGCTTCTGCCACTTACCTGCTGGGATTAAAGGTTTGCATCACACATCCAACAAACCAGTAAACCTTTATTTTATTCCACAAAGTGGGTTTAGTTAAACTTAAAAATCTTATATATTTTATATGACACCTTTAGTTGATTTAGTAGTTTTAAGATTGTTCTTAATACTTTTGTGTTTTTGAGATAATTTTCAAAAAACTTAAGTGAAAATTGCCTGTGATTTATTTAATTAAATACGTATGGATTTAAAGTTTTGTGGTCATATAGCTTTCTAGTACAGTCTGATGCCAGCTTAATGTTCCATGTGGGTAGACTGAGGTTAAAATATTCATTAAAACATGTGTTGAGGCTTTTGCTTACTTTGATAGACCACCAGTTTCTTACATGGTTTTTGATCCTTGTACTGTTCATTTTCATTGATTTTTTTTTTTCAAGTTAGCAATTGAATTTGTCACTCGGGCATAGTTGATGTAAAGAGCTAAGGAAGCTTCTTGTGTCCAAATTAACAAATTTTACATTATTGAAATCTATGTTTTCAGCCCCTTATTCCCTTTTCCTTTCCATTGTTCCTGGGCTTTAAGGATTCAGTTGCTGGGCTTCTTTTAGATAATCTGTTATTTATTTGTCATTTTGGGGGGTGGGATGGAGCTGTGCAGCAAAAGCTGCCTAGAACCTGGGTAGGTGGCTCACACTGACCTTGAATGCTATTATTAGTCTAAAACTGCTTGTGAGGTATGCACTTAAAGTTTTATGTGTTGAAATGTATGTCTAAAAATGTATTTATATTTAAGCTATACATTTAGAATTATTTCTGGTACTTTCTTGAAAACTAGATAACTTGTATCATTTTTATGTGGTTCTGAGTGCCCTAATCATCTACACATTACTTTTTCAAACGGTATCTTGTAATATTGCACAGTCTGGGTCTTAACTCCTGAGTTTTAAGTGATTCCCTATCTCAGTCTCCCAGGTAGCTGGGTTTAACATATGAGCACACATTTTTTGGCTATGCTGGGGACTGAATCCTGAGCCTTGTGCATGTATGTAGTGTGTCTGGTTTGGATCTTCCACAACACACAGATGGAGGTCAGAAGACTACTCCTGGGAGTCAGTTTTCACTTTCCACTGTCGGTTGTCAGGCTTGTCAGTAAGCTCCTTTACCTCTTAGCGATCTTATCAGCCCTCCAGATTTTCTTTGTTCTGTCTCACTTAGCGGATCTCCTCAGTTTATAGTATTGCCCTTATGAACATTGTAGAACACAGGTTTTTGCTAGTTCAGTTTTTTATTTTTTGGTTCATGATTGACCTTAAAATTTCCAAATCCTATGACTTTATACACTGTATTGGGCTTAAGCTACAGTTTCTCCTGCTATTTCTTCCCCAAAGCCTTTTCCTATAGGGGTGGTTGTGTTGGGGCACCCATTTGATTCTGGACCTGGGAAGGCAAAGGCAGGTGGACGTCTCTTGAGTTCTAGGCCAACCAGGGCTTTATAGTGCAACAGTCTGTTTGAGACTCTTCACTGGCTTCCATTCTCTCATTCCTTGTTTTCCTTTTACCTGCTTCACCACTTCTGTTCCAATTGGAGACATTGTCTCACCACGTATCCCTGGTTGGTACACGGTGCTCAACTCTGTAGCCCAGGGTGGCCTCTTACCTTACCTTCTCCAGTAAAAGGAATAGTACAGGGCACCACCAAGCACAGCCCACTTTTTCTAATATTTCCTCTTGTTTGTTTCTAGTTGTAATCTGAGGTTCTAAATGAACTTATATTTCACTATTATTTTACAAAGAAATCAAATTTTTATTACATTTTATTATTTTGTGTGTATGTGGGAATGTGCATGAGTACAGCATATGTTTGGTCAGAGGGCCTTGTGTGTCCAGGGATTGATCTTAAGTCAGCAGACATGGTAGCAGATAGATGCCTTTATCTTTTGAGTCAACTCCAGGGCTGTCATCCAATTTTTAAACTACTGTACTTACCCATTCCATTCTGAAAACTTCATGGCAAAGTTGGTGGAACTGGCTTCTTTCTACCTGAAATATTGGGGCCCAGAGTTTAAATAATGTGCTTAAATATGCTACTGGAGACAGCAGAAGGCAGAGCTGGGATTTAAAGCCGAGGACATGCTTTCAGCTTCTGGATGTTTCAGACTTGTTTGTAAATTTCCTGTTTAACTTTTCTATCTCTAATTCCCTTGTTCATCTATTCAGCTGATTTTTGTATCCCTGTTCTCCCTGCAAACCACGCCAAACCTGTTCCATTAATATTATTACTAGTAGTTAGTGAGTCTTTTCCGGAGTGTATCCAATCTCTTGAGTTTTGTTGATTTTTTTTCATAGTTATTTAGTAAATGTGTGCTGCTTTGGGCTGCTTGCTGGGCATATAATTATGTATGAAACAAAGGCTTTACCCTTAGGGAGCTTGTTTTGTAGAGAATAAAATACTTCAAGTGGCAAATTAAAAGAAATGGACTCACATAGTAATGGTGAGAACAGGCTACTGTTAAGTTGTTCTTTAACCTTTGTGTGTGTGTGTGTGTGTGTGCTTGAATACATACATATAGACTCACATGGATACACACACAAGAGTGGGATGGAGGCAGATCATTGGTTGAAGGTTTTCGGAGTTTGGGTGTTGTTGAGCAACCTCCCTGTGTTGTAGTTTTTAGCTTGTTGCAGTGCTCTGCCTGCCTTCCTTAAAACTTGGTTTGGCTCTAGGGCCTTAATCAAAGTTGTTTTACTTTTTTCTGTTCCTCATGGAGGGTGGGGTGTGTGGAAGGCAAGTCAGTTTTTCAGGTGGTGGTGAGGTCTTTGACAGAAAGGCACATGGTCAGTCATTAGCTTTGTTTTTGTGGCATTAGAAGCTATTTGATGTTAGGGCTTAGGAATGGTCATTCGTAAGAACCATCATTATTATTTGTTGTGAGATATTTATACACTGTGTGAAGATTTTTTGTTGTGATTGGTTCAGTAAAGTTCTGAATGGCCATTAGCTAGACAGGAGGTTTAGGTGGGACATCCAGGCAGACAGAGGAAAAAGGAGGAAATAATTGAGGTACAGGGGAGACACCAATGAGATATGGAGTTGGGCATACAGAATGAAAGAAAGGTAAAAAGCCACATAGTAAAACATAGATTAATAGAAATGGGTTAATTAAAGTTATAAGAGCTAGTTAGGAACAAACCTCAGCTATGGCCTAACTTTCATAATTAATAAGTTTCCATGTAGTTATTTGCAGGCTGGCCGTCCAAAGATAACTGAACAAGAGTTTGCTACATAGGGCGTTCAACATAGGACCTGAGAAAGCGGTCTCCTGGGTAGGCTCCATGTACAGAGGTGTGACTCTTTAAGAGGCCCTGCTACTGAGCACTTGAACGGGGTTTATGAGTGGGTGTGCTACTACTTGGTGGTGGGAGACTAGGTAGAATTGCCTACTGGAGCCTAGATTGATTGACCTGGCTCCAGGCCAGTGGGGCTCTGCAGGCCTGAGACCGCTCTTGGTAACCTGAAGGGGATGGAGCCAGCAGCCATCATCAGCCCTGTGCTAAGCAGAGCCATGCAGTGGAAGCCTAGCTGCCGCCTGCTTAGCAATTTAAGGTTTGGCTCACGCATCAGAGAACACTGCGAATGCACGGGCACAGAAAGTTAGAACCAGATGGAGAGAATCTCTGAACAGACATATGCTTAAAAATGTGCTTAGATTCTGAAAAAAGAAAAGGAGTATAGAAAGTCTTAGGAAAAAAAAGTTTAAAAATAAAAGTAAAGTCTTTAAAGAAAGAGTAAGGTAATTAAAAAAAAGTCATGTAAGAATGGGAAATACATAGGGCATCTGGGTCCTGTATGGTGTTTTATTGACTTTGAATTTTTTGAACGCTGTTGAGCGAATGGCAGCTCCTGAAAAAGAGACATTGGGTTATAGAAGGGACTGCTGAATTAAACCAGCCTTTATACTTTAGAGATGTCTTGGCATCAAAATGGAAGTTGGGAAGTGTGTTGCATTGGGAAAAATGTTTCCACAGGAAACAAAAAGTTAGGATTCTCTTCAAAATGAATGAAGATCCAATTTGATTGGGGGAGACCTAAAAATCTTGGCTTGAAGCCGGGCGGTGGTGGTGCACACCTTTAATCCCAGCACTGGGAGGCAGAGGCAGGCGGATCTCTGGGAGTTCGAGACCAGCCTGGTCTACAAAGGGAGTTCCAGGACAGGCTCCAAAGCTACAGAGAAACCCTGTCTCGAAAAAAAACCAAAAAAAAAAAAAAATCTTGGCTTGTGACATGAAGAAAGAAACCAAGAAAGACTATAGGACAGGTGACATATATGCTGATCCCTTGATGCGGGAACAGCCCTGAGACTGGATGAGACTTGATAAACTTGTTGGCTACAGAGCCCTCATGACTTACTATATGCCATCCTTTTATATGACATGAATTGAAGTACAAATTTAGAAAGTTAACAGATGACTTTTACCATCTCAAACATGAAACAAGAAAATCATCTTCAACTGACTTGTACATACTGCATTTTCCATATACATATATTGCCTTTAAAAGTTTGTGTGTTTTCAGATAAAAGGGACCAGACACCAGTAAAAATAAGTAGCTCAGGTGATCCAGCCTCTCAGAATGCCCTTTTTCTCAAAATTCTTCATCCAGAGCCACTTCAAAGCTCCTAGCCTAGGTGGTCCAACCTCACACACTACTCCAGGCAGGACTTTGGATGAGCCCTGCACTTTCCCATCACACAGAGACTAAGCAAAAAATAATACAGTTAGCTCTTCCTGGACTTGACCATTATCCCAATTTTATTAGGGTCCCCCAAAGATGCTGTTGCCCTTGGGAAGCAGTCTGGGGACATCCACATTTCCAAAAGGTGAGGTGGGTGATTTTGGTAGGTTATTGATGTTTGTCATCATTTTAGGGTGTTGGTTACAAGTTGTTATTGATCATGGTCAGGAAAAAGCTGAACCAAAGAGATTAGATTCAGGAGTCTTGTTCTGAAAAGAATAAGGGGGGAGTATAGAAATGATAGAATAAAATGATAGATTTTTAAAACCTGCTTTCAAACTAAAAAACTAATAGTTTTGCCAGGCGGTGGTGGTGCACGCCTTTAATCCCAGCACTCGGGAGGCAGAGGCAGGCGGATCTCTGGGAGTTCGAGGCCAGCCTGGTCTACAAGAGCTAGTTCCAGGACGGACACCAAAGCTACAGAGAAACCCTGTCTCGAAAAACCAAAAATAAAAAATAAAAAAAATAAAACTAATAGTTTCAAATATTATACATTGATATGGATTTTTTTGGTCACTGTGAATGTAATTCTTACCTGATAATTGTTCTTATTGTATAAAATTTTACTGTGTTAGAAATTTATTTAGACAAAAGGGGGAAATATGGGATATTTGTATACTGTGTAAAGATACATTGCTGTGATTGGTTTAATAAAGAGCTGAGTAGCTATTAGCTAGGCAGGAGGTATAGGTGGGACTTCTGGGCATAGAGAGGGAGTAGGAGGAGACAATGAAGATGCAGGGAGATGCCAAGTAGACACAGAGGGAGTCAGACATACAGAATGAAAGAAAGGTAAAATATAAATTAATAGAAACGGGTTAGTTTTAAGTCGTAAGAGCTAGTTAGGAACAAGCCTAGCTGGGCGATGGTGGCGCACGCCTTTAATCCCAGCACTCGGGAGGCAAAGGCAGGTGGATCTCTGTTAGTTCGAGGCCATCCTGGTCTACAAGAGCTAGTTCCAGGACAGGAACCAAAAGCTATGGAGAAACCCTGTCTCGAAAAATCAAAAAAAAAAAGAAAAGAAAAAAAAAAAAAGGAACAAGCCTAAACTATAGGTCGAGCTTTTATAATTAATAATAATAACTCTCTGTGTTATTATTTGGGAGCTGCTGGTGGGACAGAGAAAGACTTGTTAAATGTGCCCCCACCCCGCCCCTACACACACACACACACACACACACACACACACACACACACGTTTCTCTGCAGCCCTGGGTACCCTGGAATTGATTTTGCAGATCAGGCTGGCCTTGACTCATATCGCCTGCCTGCTTCTGCCTCCTGAGTGTTGGGATGAAAGGCATGCACCACCACCACCCACAGTCTTGTGAAATCTTAAGACAGATTTTTTTTTTTTTTAAAGGACTGGGAATATAGCTCTCCTTTCCTGTTTTGATTCCTAATACTTTGTAAATGGGACATAGTGGTGCATGCCTGGGCTTTATTAGTTGATGTGTCCCAAAAAGAAGAATGGGTAGGAAATGTATGAAAGAAAAAGATGGAATAGGTAAGTGTAACATGCTGTTAATAGTTGTGTCAGCTAAATCTCAGAGAGGCCTAGACTATGGTTTAATAATTTTTGAGTTAGGTATTTTCTAGGCTTGCTTGGTATTTGTAGCCCAGATTGGTGTTGAACTCCATAAAGCGCTGCCTCAGGCCTTCCACCTGCTGGGATTAGAGATGTGTACCACCATACATAGCTTTTCTCATAGTAACATTTCTCTTGTTGCTTTTTTCCAGGACCGTTGAAATGGAACTAGCCACACATAAGTTCACATGTTTAGAAATGGGGAGGGGGGGTAAGAGTAGAGGAGTCTTACTTGCTGTTTATTGCTGTGAAGAGACACCATGACTATGGCAACTCTTCGAAAGAAAGCATTTAATTGGGGAGTTGTTTATAGTTTTGGAGTTAGTCTGTCATCACCATAGTGGGAAGCATGGTGCTGGAAAAGTAGCTGAGAACTGTATCTGTCCTGATCTGCATGCAGGCAGAAAAAGAGAGTCAGGCACTAGGCCTGATGTGGTCTTTTGAGACCTCCAAAGCCCACTCCCAGTGACACATCTCCTCCAACAAGACCACACTCTTTCCAACAAGGCCACACCTAATCCTCCAAACAGTCCCCCAGCTGGGGACTCAGTATGTAAACATGAATTTAAGGGAGCCATTCTCATTAAAACCACTACAAGTAGAAGCCAGATTCTGTACTACCACTGTATTTGTGTCTCTTTGTAGTTTGCACATATTGTTACCCCTTCTGTGGGTTTTTGTTTTTTTGAGACAGATTTTCTCTGTGGTGCCCTGGCTGTCTGACCTTGCTCTATAGGCTGGCCTTGAACAGACAGAGATTCACCTGCTTCTGTCCCCCCCCCCCCCACTGCCCCAGTGCCAGGGTTAAAGGTGTGATTAGCCCCTTTATTACCTTTCATAAAAGGTTTTCAGTTTTAATTTTGTTGTCTTTTTCCTCTAGTAGGCTGGTTATAAGTTCTCTAAAAGGATCAGATGTTTTATTTCACTTGTATATCCACTGAGAGGGGAAGGACCTAGCACATTATAGGCATTTGCTAAGTAATTGTTAATGAGTAGAGTTGCACAAGATCTTTTTCCCCTTCAAAATGAATAACTCTTTTGAGGTGCTTTAGTGATTACAGGTGGTGCTTAGCTCATCTGAAAGTATTCCATGTTGTTTTTCAACTTTGTTTTAAAAAATTGTTTTAAAAAAGTACAGCCTAGGGGGCTGGAGAGATGGCTCAGTGGTTAAGAGCTATCTCTTGTAAATCTGCCTGCCTCTGTCTTCCAGCTTGGTGGGACATCCCTTTAACCCCAGCACTTGGGAGACAGAGACAAGACAGATCTGAGTTCCGAGCGATCCTGTTCTACAGAATAAGTTTCAGGACAGCCAGGGATACACAGAGAAACCCTGTCTCAAAAACAAACAAACGGTGCTGGAGAAATGGCTCAGAGGTTAAGAGCATTGGCTGCTCTTCCAAAGGTCCTGAGTTCAATTCCCAGCAACCACATGGTGGCTCACAACCTAAGGTCTGGTGCCCTCTTCTGGCCTGCAGGCATACACACAGATAGACTATTGTATACATAACAAATCAATAAATAAATATTAAAAAAAAAAAGTACAGCCTACCGGGTTTATTAGCGCACACCTTTAATCCTGGGGTGGGGGTGGGTGGGTTAGGGTGGTGAGGGGCAGGTGGTTCTCTGTAGGTTCGAGGCCAGCTTGGTCTACAGAGCAAGGTACATGACAGCCAGGGCTAAACATAAAAACCCTGTCTCGAAAAAACCAGAAGAAAAAAAAATTATGTGAAAAAAGATCTGGGGCTGTTGCTCAGCGATAGAGCCCTAGCCTAGCATTTGGGAGCGCTTCGATTCAATAGCTAGCTCTGCCCCATCCTTTGCAAGAAAAAGTACATTCAGGAAAATACAAATTAAAACACTTTGTAATTTTGAAGCTGGAATACAGCTGAGTTAGTAAAGTGCTTGTCTGTCATTTGCAAAGCCCTGGACTCAGTCTTCACTACTTCATAAACTGGGTGTGATGCCACCCAGGTCTATAATTTTAGCACTAGAGAGATAGAGGCAGGAGACAGCTACATAATGAGTTTGAGTCTAGGCTGGAATACATGATACCCTATCTCAAAAAATTATATATATTAAAAGAAAAAAAAGCAACCCTTTTGGACGGTGAGGTTATTGGCAACTCCCAACCCCCTTTTCTTTTTCTTACTCGCTAAAAATGGCCCAACAAACACAATGGAATAGATATTTGCTTTTATCACCATTGATTCCCGTTATTTCTTTTTTTTCCTTTCCTTATTTTTTTGGAGGTGTCGGTGGATTTTTGAGACTGGGTTTCTCTGTGTAGCTTCGGCTGTTGTAGAACTCTTTTTTGTAAGTTAGTCTGGTCTCCATAGAGACAGCTAGCTGCCTCTGCTTCCGAGTGCTGGGGTTAAAGAACACTACTACTGTCCAGCCATCTTCTCTTTTTTATTGAACCAGAGTTTTACTGTGTAGCCCAGACTAGCCTGGAAGTCCCTATGTAACCCAGACTGCCTTTGAATTTAATAATATAGCCTAGGATAGCCTTGAGCTCATGGCAGTCCTCTTGCTTCAGGCTTTCTGAGTGCTAGGATTACCGGTGTGAGTCACCATATTGGCATGCATATATGATTTTCTTGGTGGCTGTCCTGTAGATTACATTAACACTTTGATTTATAGCAATCTAGCTTTAATTAATACTGGTTTAATTAAAATTGAATATAAAATGTTCTTCTAAAGTTTTTATTTCCTACTTTGTTCTTTGTGCTGTTCTTCTACAATTTACGTTTGTTCGATGTATACCCAAACAATGCAGATTTCTAATTATTGTTTAATGAACGTGCTTCTTAAATCAGGAAGAAAAACAGCTCAACTCTTTTCAATTTATATTTCCCTAGATTGCTCAGACTGACCTTGAATTTAACTCGGTAATTTGTTTGGCCTCAGATTCATCATTCCTTTCCTTCTCTCAAGTATTCAGATTGCAGACATGTGCCAGTCTCTTCCATACTTACTAGTTTGGACATCAATCTCTCTCTCTCTCTCCCCCCCCCTCCTCCTCCATTGCTTGGAAATTTCATTACCAAGTTTCTCTGTGTAATAGCCTTGACTGTCCTGGAATTCTTTGTAGACAAGATTGGCCTCAGACTCAGAGATTCGCCTGCCTGTGTCTCTCAAGTGCTGGGATTAAAGGTGTGTACCACCACCGCCAGGCCCAGATTATTTTTCTTTGTAACTGTGTGCATGTTTGATTGTGTGTGTGTGTGTGTGTGTGTGTGTGTGTGTGTGTGTGTGTGTTGAGTGCAGCATATGTGTATAGGTCAGAGGCAAATTTATGGAATTTGTTTTCTCACTGCATACTGATGTGGGTTCTGGGAGGTGAAATGTGGTCACCTTTACTTATGCAACAATCTCTCTATCCCTAGGCAGTCTTTATTTTCATGTTAGGCCAGGGCTTGAATCTACTCTGGGCAAGCAGGCAATCTTTTTCTTTCAGCAATTTGAATTCAACACACTTCCTTCATTGTTTCCAGTGGGAATTCGGCTGTGATGAGTCACTTTTCTTTGGATGTTTTCATGATTTTTCTGTTTTTCACGACAGTTTGATTTTGGTGTGTTGTGTTATTAATCTCTGAGGTTTTTTTTTTTATCACATTTAGTAGAGCTTCTGAGTTTTTAAAAATTGTTATTCTGCTGTATCTTTTCTTTATTCATATTTATTGACTTCTTACAGTTGTATTCTACAGGTTTCTGTGGGTTAATTTTTCTTCATTTATTTGATTCTCAGTACAAAATTTCAAATTATCTGATTCCTTCTGTCTGTTTATATCTGCTCTTGAGTCAATTTATTGAGTTTTTTATTTCTATTACTTTTCTTCTTCCTCTTTTTTTCCTGAAGACAGTGCCTCATATATCATAGGCTGCCCTGGAACTCACTCATTTCCGGTTTGTGTGGATCCTGAGATTTTGCTGTAGTGAAAGTTGAGGTTTTTCTCCAGTCTTTCTTGACCAAGTACTATATGTGACATAGTCTTACAGAATTCCAGAATATGTTCCAGTATTTAAAAATCTCTACACCCATCTCATTGCTTTTAAGCTTATTACTTGTTTTTCTCTAAAGTCAATGATTTCAAGTAGCTAAGATGTCCAACAATTGAGGCAAAGCAAGCAAGCAAACAAACAGCAGACTTGTTTGCATTAGACAAGTTCAGCATCTACATAAGGATGCTGGTAGAGTTTTCAGGAGTGCAGAAGGCATGTCAAATGGTGGCAAAACTTTGGGAATGAGAGTTTTGGAGACAACGTTGAACTAGGTAGAATTCAGGCTGGTCTCCCTCACCATCCCTCTCCCTTCCACATTTCTCTTGCCTGTGCCCTCCTGCTTGGAAGGGTTCCAGGCCTGATTTTAACTGTGATTGCTGCTTAGTGGTTTTCATAGCTTCTTGTGGAGTGTCACTAGGTTGCTGTATTTACCAATGTGCTAGCCCCATGTATTAAACATCCCTGGATTGCTTCAGTCCTTTGGTTAATTTCCATAGTACAGGAGTAATTAGTTCATTTTTATTCTTTTGCTAGTGTTCTTACTGCTTGTATGGAGCACTGAATTTCAGTTTTTTGTTTGTTTTGTTTTTTGACAGGGATTCTCTGTAGCTTTTGGAGCCTATTCTGAAACTTGCTCTGTAGACCAAGCTGGCCTCAGATTCACAGAAGCCCTCGTGCCTCTGCCTCCCGAGTGCTGGGATTAACGTGTGCCATCGCCACCCGGCTCTTTTTTTTTTTCTTTTTTGATTTTAATTTCAGTTTTTTTTTTAACTGCAATTTCTACTGACATTTCTAGTGTTACTGTGAAACTAGGATCTATAATAACACGAGCTCTTAATAAGTGATACAAGAGTTTCTTCTCCAAGTTTAGAGGGTTCAGACAAACTTAGGGGTTTTGTATTCTTTGGAATGGTCAATCGTGAGATAATAGGAGAGTTAAAAAGTTTATTTTAAGGCCCAACATACAGAAGTGCTTCTCAGTGTTCTTCAGGATAGTTAAGAGGCAAAGGATAGAAAGGGAGGGCAAAGGTTTAGGTCAGAACGTTTGCGGGTTTTTTGTTTGTTTTGTTTTGTTTGTCGAGACAGTGTTTCTCTGAGTAGCCCTGGCTATCCTAGAACTCGATCTGTAGACCAGGCTGGCCTCGAACTCACAGAGATTTGCCTCCTGAGTGCTGGGATTAAAGGCATGTGCTGTCACCACCATCTGACTGCTGTGGTGTTTCATAGAAGGGCATAGGTTGGGACTGGTTTGAGTAATTTGGGGGAGGTTCTACAGAATGGGTTAACTGATTTCTGGCTCTAGGGGGATTAAGGCCTGATTGTCAGGCTGTGGGAATTACAGGCCAAAAATGAAGACTGTCTAGTTTGTGTAGCAAGAAAGGCAGGCTCCCTACTGAGTCTTGTAAGAATTGGCTAGCTCTGAGAGGGCCAGTCTCCCTAACCAGAAAGGTTTTAAGATGTCAAAACACAACATGCAGGAAAAAGAAGACATACACTGGGGCTGGAAGAGTTTCGTATTAATCATCCCACATGCTTCATCCATTTTTCGAGGTTTCAGTTACTTCCCCTTTCCCATGTGAATCCTAACCTTGGTTTAACAGATCTTCCCAAATTGAGAATTTAATTTTGATTGGAGTTGGGATTAAATTTTGATTTAATTTTGATCTGCTACTCTTCTGACTATTCTGATCCTGGCTGTCTTTGGTGTCTTCTTGCTATAGGAGAGAAGTATCTGAAAAGTAACTGAAGAATTTTCTGGCCTTTTACTTTCACT